GTAGGAATTAAGGAGAATAAAATAAAAGCCTTAATACGAGCAGAAAAAGAAGGCAATAAAAGTAAAGTTAAAAGAGAGAAAAAGGAGTTCACTGTAATGGAATACAGGGCTCAGTTAAGTAACATTTACAGAAAAATAGGAATAGAAAGCAACAAGAAAATAGCATATAAGAGAAACACGACAATATTTCAAATGCTAAGAAACGACAAAACACCCGTTGACAGGAGGCTGATCCCAGGTGTATACAGAATACCGTTGTATGATAGGAGGCTAAATAAGGAGTTATATTATATAGGAGCCACTAAAAGATCATTAAATGAAAGATTGAAGGAGCACAAAAAGAATGTAAGCTTTAAACAACCAGTCACGGCTTTGGCCAATTACGCGATAGCAGATCCAACAGAGATCGACATCAAATGGAGCAAGGCAGATGTCATACAAAAAGTGAAAAATATAAAACATCTAAAATATGCAGAAGCCTGGCACATTTACAAGAGCAAAGAAAAAGGGCGTAATATAAATTTCCGTGAATCGAACAAAATAGCGTCGGCATGGAAAGCGGCAACTTTAAAATTATAAAATTATATTTATGAGCATGCGCAATCGAGAAGAACGTGCAGTTTGGAATCTCCGTTATGCAAATTTGAAATATATTTCGATTGATAATTCGATCCTGATGAAGGTTTGTGAATCAGACCGAAAACGTTCGACAGATGTAAACTAGACTGCATTTTAAAGGTATAGTGAATTTTTGTTAAATAGTAATGCAGTTAGAGATAGAATGAATAGAAATTAGTGTTTTAGTTTTAAAAAATTGTTTAAACTTGTCAAAATTTTTGTTTAAAATATATTTTTTAAATAAACTTATTTTACTTTTATATTTTTTAAAAAGATATATATATAGACAAAAATATTTGATAAGTTTTATACTCTTATATACAATTTATGAATAATAATGACATTATTGAAGTTTGAAGTATTTCTTACCATAAATATTAAACTGCATGACCAGTTACACTTTAGAACAGTGGTGCTCAAATTTTTTGATTTGCAAGCCAAATTGTTCATAAGTTTTAGATAGATCATGAATATTTAGTATATTCCATATATACAAAAAGTAGGTCTATTTGAATCATTCAAACTACAGTTTTCAGGCAGATTTGGCCTGAAAGCTATAGTTTGGGCACCACAGTTTTTGAATTTGGTAAGATTTATTGCTTTTAATAATAACCTAACAATATTGATTAAAAGCAATATAATAAAAATTTCCAAATGACTCAAAACAAAATTTAAATTAACATTTGGAGTTCTTTGGGTATATTGAATTGAAGAAAATTTTAGTTTTAATTGGATAAATTGAAAATAAAGGAAATCTTTAGGGGTGTAACGAATATTCAGTTACTATTCGGTATTCGGTCTATTTTTCGCTGTTTGGCCGAATACCGAATATTTAATCACTATTCGGCCGAATATCGAATACTTAAAAACAGGAGTAAGAAATAACAAAAACACAATAAATTAATCATTTTGGTATTTAGATTTAATGTTATCGGGTTAGTGTTGTTTGTTTATATTTATTTATAACTTATAACATTCACAAAATAAAAAAAATAATATTAGTCACATGTATTCACAATTTATAATTACAAATATCAGCACACGTACACACATCTGAGGGTCTGATCCTGTCTATTCTTTTTAAGCACTCGTCTTTGCTCTTTCCTTTCTCTTTCCTCTATCTCTCTAGTCCACGTATGCCTATGCATACATCATAATATGCGCTCACGATACTTTCGATTCGTCGCTTTTCCATCGTTGTTTTTCCATTTTATAATTACGTGACTCATATTCTGGTGATAACGTAGAAAAGAGACAGATAGGA